CTCCTGGATCCTCAGGCAAGGCGTATGGGTGGGTGAGAAATGACTGCTCACTTTTAAAACTTCAAAGGTTTATTAAACCTTAACAAAAAAATACAACAAAAGGACAAAATAAGGAAAAATCACAGCACTGGAGACCCCTGTGACTATCAGCCATGTGCTTGTGTTTAAAACAGATGCTCTTCCTTTTATACCTCTAGTCCCTACTAAAGTCTTGTTAGTCGACTTCTTCCTTGCCATCCAGTGGTGGTGGTCACTTTCTTACACCTCGACTGGAGGTCGGAATTTACTATATTAAGAAGACAACCCTCTCCAAATGCCCCAACTACCAAGGCCCTCCTGTGCTAACAATGAAAAGGGGAGGACATATTACAGTATTACAGTAACATTACTATACATTTACAAAACTTCTCTTAACATACCTATAATGATCACCCATTAACTGTGAGAGCCAACCATCTCATTACTCATCTATAATAGGTGGAAATCTCAGGAGAGACCAGTGCACATATTTACTCCCTGTGGGTGCTGACTGTGGCAGTGAGGATTAAACAGACACAAATTTCTGAAAGACATCTGACACAGGTTAAGTAGAAAAGAGGTGCCACTATCCACTCTGCTTCTAAGGCAGGTTCACCTCCCAGCCCTGCAGCACTCCCAGCCCTTCTCAGCTTGGCACAGCTGCAGGCACTGGGAACAATGGGCGCCCTCAGCTACCAGACCAATCCACAAGGAATTGTGTCCTTGTCTCAGGCATGACAGCCACTGAAGAGGCAGAGCAGACATCTAGGAGAGAAGATGTAACATCTTTGCTATCCAGGCTGAATCCTCTATCTCATCTCTGCCAGAGCCACAAGGGAGCAGCTGCAGTGCATTTCAGAAGCTCCTGGAGCTCTGTTTGCAGCCCCTCTCCTGAAGCATCCCCTACCCCCACGCAGCAGCCTGCAGAGCAGATGGAGTGTGTGCACTGCCTTCAGCCACTCCAGCGCAAAGTCTGGCAACTCAGAGCACGACACTTCTCAAGCTGCTACAGTGGCCCCATGAAGGTGTTTTGGGCTTCTGTTTGCCAAATGCCTAAGCCCAAAGAACATTTTAAAATCACAACTTGTATGTTATATTTAATCAACGTGAACTGCTTTTTCATGCTGTCACCTCAGTCCAGAATCCTCACTGAAAGAACAAAAAACAGGCCGGTGATTTTGCCTGCTGTCAGTGACTTCAAACCAGATCCATGGCCCACTGCTTTTTACAGCACTCCCTTAGTCTATTTTTAAGAGCAATTTGAGAAATAAAAGCTATTTAAAACAAGCAGCATGAAAAGAAGTATCATTTGCTTCACATGATTATTATGTGCATAGTAATGACAGGAAGAATACTGCAAATGTTTTCCAACTCTTAAAAAAAAAAAAAAAGAACATTTCCTTTGCAATATATAATTTTGAATTTTAATTTAGATAACTCAGACTATTTACTGGCAACATAAATATCCATATTCATGACATCTGATTTGCTATAATCTTTATTTCTGATGTGCTGCATCTGTGAATACTTGAAGCACTTGAGTCTGCATTCATGGGCAATTATATGGGAATGTCATCCAATAGCAACAGATTGATTTACAGTTTAGACTTCACAGCACCAAAAGACAATTCATTTTCTCTCAGATGAGCTGTGGCATGAGACCTGGGATTGATGCTTCCACTCTCATTTTTTTAACAAATTACTTTTTCTTGTCTAATAGACTGTCAAATCAAGGGCATTATAATGAGGGTCAAACCAGTGCCTTTTAGATGCATTCTCTCATTGCATCTCAGTGTATCTCACTACTTTGCAAAGGTCAGAGGAAGAAAGGGAAATGGACAGCAAGTAGAAACTTAAATTTCATGCAAATGATTTGGAGGGGAAAGAGGCACAGGTATGGTATTTGGTCATTGCACCTTCACACCCCAGGACTCCCTCATTCTGACTTCCACTGAGCCTTCCAGAAATCCAAGCTCTTGTTATGAAAAACACATTTTTCTTAAAATTCTCTGAATCTATAACTTCTAGTCTTGCCTGTTGGAAGTTATTCTGAAGTAGAAAGGTTCTTTCAATAAAACAAATTTCAGTTAATTTCACAGGTGATAGGAAGAATTAAACAAACCCACAATAAATCCGTGGCAAGTACAATAGGAGAAAGTGTTTAATGGATATATTAGGTAAATAAAGTGATAAAGCTCATGGATGCATCAAACTCTCTTACAGTTCTTCAAAGGAAAGAGCACAACAGCAGAGGCTTCCCAGAGACCTGCTCTCTCATCATCCCCCTCCTTAGGTGACAACAGAAAAATGAGTATTGGTAAGGACAGCCATTAACACAGGGAGGATGAGCCAAGTGCTTTTAACATCGCCTGATTCAAAGCAGCTCAGGCGTTCCTTTGGTGACTTCTCATTCTTGTGAAAACACACACAATGTCCTTACCATCTTTTTTTTTTTTTAACAGTTAAAACCCCACACATATGAACATCTTTTACTGAACAAAAATACCTTATAGCTGATCTTCATTAACAATGTTTCTCCAAGGCATACAGAGATAATGAAAACAACTGCAGTTTCCCATAGTTATAAAACAAACACCTGGGAGCAAATCCAGCACGCTGCTCATTTCAGGCAGAGGGGACCAGAATTTATTCACACCAGTCACACTTGTCCCACCACTTCAAGTGCAACTCAACCTTCCTCTGTTTCAAAGGGAGGCAAACTTAGGGCAAGTGAAAAACAAACATGCTCAAAAGCAGAATATGTAGAGACAAAAATCCCACTCTCAGGCTACATAGGATGACTTGGCTTGTGTACTTACGTGTGACTATCAATAGCGCTAGCAAAAGGTGGTGCCAAAAATGCTTGCTAAAAGTGAAATAAATCACTCAACCTTTCTTTCAGGAAGATTTTCCAACATCAAACAAGCTGACAGACTTTACTGAAAAAATATCTTTCTCAGGATAATTATCACCTAGGCTTTATTGCAAACTTAGTCTACCTAAGATAATTTCTAAAAACCATGAAATCCACTTGGATTTGAACTCTTTCTTGCCCTCTTGAGAGGCAGAGCACCTCTTCCCATCAGCAAGATGTGTGTATGTTCAAAATCTGCATCAGTACTGATAAAACCAGTTTAGAGCTTTATATCACTTTGTGTATTAGTGACATACCAATATGTATGTTCTTTGAAGAGGGAAAATAATCAAATACAGCTAAGAGGTCTGCCTTACTAAAAACCTTGCTTTTCAGAAAAGGTTAGTTCATTCCTCAAGAGAATTTTCAGCCTTTCAAGCAATTCACAGTAACCTTCACAAAGCATCTTGAAAATTTTAGGCTGAAGTAGAAATAACACCTCAACACTTTTAAGAAAAAAATAAAGTACCTTGAACCCATTTGAAATACCATCATAATGGTCTGCAAAATGGAGTCTTCAGCCATTGTTCAGTATTTTTAAGGAACTGGTAATCGCTTTGGATAAAGTAGCACATAAAGGAACACTTATCAAATAAATAAATGCCTTGGGCATCAAGCATGCCCAAAACAAATACGCTTTACAGTACGCAATTCCCTTTACTTGCCTAGAGTCAGTTCAGGAGTGGAGCATTTACAGCTCCTGGAAGAGTTCTCACTGCTGGTTTGAGTGTTGGATGTGTCATGGAATGATTTTCCCTGGACTCCCACGCTATGTGTGGATAAAAAGATTTCTGTTGCACATCCTGGCTAGAACAAAGCAATGCCCTGATTCTCTAACACTAGAGAATCACCAAGTGTTGTTGGAGGGTTTTTGTTTTTCCCGCAGGTGACAATCTCACCTTCCATGAGTATACCAAACTATGTTATTGGGGCTAGAAAGCATTAAAGACACAAACCCTTTAATGCCTTGTACTGCAGAGGTTTCAGTCATGCAGGAGGTGAGAGCAGTAAAGGACCTAACCCCACCAGCCTTCAGCCCTGGGGGACAGCATCTGCCCTGGCCTGGAAACCCAGCCAGGAACCATCCCGGGGCTTAGAAGCCATTTATGTTTTAAGAGCCATTTGTACTGATGCCTTATCAAGACTGACAAAGCCTAGAACAGAGGCTAGACAAAGTTAAAGAATAAAGTAGGGATTTATTAAAAGGCCTCAATGGATCCACCTTGGGTAGCACAAGAGCCCAGCCACGGCTACACCCAAGGTGAACCCAAATGGTCACAAAAAAATGGACAACTGGTCACGAGGTCTCTCACTTTTATAAGTTCTGGTCCATTTCCATACTGGAGCTAATTGTCCAATATTAGCTTTAGGTTATGAAGTCCCATCCTTCTTGTTTTTATCTCTTCAGTCCACATTGTTGTCCATGCTGTCCATGCTCTTGGGCCTGACATCTGGGTGGCCATCACTGGTCCCAAGCTACAGAAGGAGTTGTCTACCTACTCTGTGAAAAAAACTTACCAACACTTAATATGAAGCTCAGAACTACACACTCAAGCAGCACAAAACGTGAAAAACACAAAAGTTAAAACCTAAGGCACCAATACCAGGGCTGGGTGCATGCTCGGGGAGCTCCCATTGACCCAACGAGTGAGACCATCACAGCGGCCTGGGCCGGGCCGGGCCAGTCCCTCAATGGCGGGGCCGGTCCCTCAGTGCCCGGGCCGGTCCTTCAATGGCCACGCCGGTCCCTCATTGCCCGGCCGCTCCCCCGGTGCCGGGGCCGGTCCCTCACTGCCCGGCCGGTCCCTTATTGCCCGGGCCGGTCCTTCAATGACCACGCCGGCCTCTCATTGCCCGTGCCGGTCCCTCATTGCCCGGGCCGGTCCCTCATTGCCCGGCCGCTCCCCCGGTGCCGGGGCCGGTCCCTCATTGCCCGGCCGCTCCCCCGGTACCGGTACCGGGGTCGCCGCTCCGGCCGAGGGCTCCGGGAGCGCGCGCGCGGTCCCGGCGCAGGCGGGGCCGGCTGGGGGGCGGGGCCCGGCGCGGCGGGGCCGCCAGAGGGCGCCACTGCGCGGGCGGGGCGGCGGCGCGGGGTGCGCGGCTGTGCCCGGCCGTGCCCGCCCGGCCCCGCTGCGGACACTGCGGACACTCCGGACCCGCTCCGGACACTCCGGACCCGCTCCGGACACTCCGGGCCCGCCCAGCCCCTCCCGGGCAGGGAGCGGGGCCGCACAGACAAGGTAAGGGCGCGCGGCCGGCTCCCGTCCCGCCGGCTGCGCGTTTGGCGTCCCCGTGCCGTGTGCGTCCCGTCCCCTCCCGTCCCTTCCGTGGGGTGAGCGTTGTCCCTCTGTCCCTCTGTCCGTCCCTCCCTCCATCCCCCGGTGGAGCGCGCAGGTCGCTGGTCCGCCGGCAGAGCCCCGCGGCAGCGCGGGGCAGGCCCGGGCATGTCCCGGGAGGTGCCGCCCGCCGTGCCCCGCTCGCTGCGGTGCCCCGGGCATGTCCCGGGAGGTGCCGCCCGCCGTGCCCCGCTCGCTGCGGTGCCCCGGGGATGTCCCGGGAGGTGCCGCCCGCCGTGCCCCGCACGCTGCGGTGCCCCGGGGATGTCCCGGGAGGTGCTGCCCGCCGTGCCCCGCTCGCTGCGGTACCCCGGGGATGCCCCGGGGCGCTCCGTGCCTGTGCCGCAGGGTTTGGGACGTTTGGGGCTGTGCCGCGTTCTGGTTGCCGGGCTGACCGGCGCTGTTTCTGCGGCAGATGATCGATACCCCGGCGGGCGGCGGCGCTCGGGACCCGGCGCTGGAGCTGCCCGCGATGCTGGAGCAGGAGCTGCGGGCTCAGCCCCGCGCCGCCGGGCTCCGGCTGCTCGAGGCTGCCCACGACAATGGGCTGCGGATGACCGCGCGGCTGCGGGACTTCGAGGTGAAAGATCTCCTCAGCTTAACTCAGTTCTTTGGCTTCCACACGGAGACCTTCTCGCTAGCTGTGAATTTCTTAGATAGGTTTTTGTCGAAAATGAAGGTAAGGCATTTTAAAGTATAAGCTCAGCCTAGTTCCTATTCGAAGCTAGAATGTCTTGGTTTTAGATAAAGGTCAAGTTGCTTCCAGAGATTCTTGATTGTGCGGAGCTAAAAAATTGTGTTCTCCGTTCAGTTTTTGGTATTGTTAAGAAAGGTGTTTTCTCTGGAGAAGGAGAAACTAAAGGATGTCGATGGGATGGGAAACAGGAGGTGTTAATGGCTTAGACCAAGAAAGATTGCCTCTCCTGTTGCATAGATACAAAAACATGTTCAATTACTTCTCATTTAACTGCCTTTTCAACCTATCAGTTAGCATTGTGTCTATCAAAATGCTGTTGAAAACTTAAAATCTGGTCAAACATTAGTTAGCGTTGCATTCTCCCATGCAGATGTGACATGCTGACCTGAGTTGTTTTAAGTTGTCTTAACAAGACGGGATTAGCGCTGTACAGTTTGGACAAGAACAAAAGCTTGTTTTCCTTGTGTGTGCAAACAAAAATGAGAAAGCTAGATGGAATGGATGGGAAAATGATGATTTAAAAGACTTGTGAATCCAGATGAAGCAGTAAAAATCAGGACTACATTGTCTATGGAATAAAATAAGACCATTTATATATACATGTATGTGTGTGTGTATATATACTTACAATAGAGTTAGAAACCCCCCATTTTTTACTATCACCCCTAATATCTACAACACTTTAAGTCCTAAAAGCTTCATATTAGGCTATTTTAGAACCTTATTAACAAGTCAGTTCTGCCTCAATCAAAATTGCTCTGCAGTCTTGCTTTTTAGATGAATGAGATGCAATTTATGGTATGTAACTGTTTTCCCATTTGGTTAAACAAAGATAATAATGTACAATAAAAGACTTAGTTTTCAATCTCCGAAAAACAAAACAACCCCTCATCCCCCATAATTATTTGATGAAATAGATTGGTGCTTACAGTTAGATACTTGCATGTTGTAATAGATGATCAGAGGCTTTCTTCTTTGAAAATAACAATTCGCTTTTCTTTAGGTACAGCCAAAACACTTGGGCTGTGTTGGACTCAGCTGCTTCTACTTGGCTGTGAAGGCATCAGAAGAAGAGAGAAATGTGCCCTTAGCCACTGACTTAATTCGAATAAGCCAATATAGGTTCACTGTTTCTGATATGATGAGAATGGAGAAAATCATATTGGAGAAATTGTGTTGGAAAATCAAAGCTGTAACCACCTTCCAGTTTCTACAGCTCTATCATTCATTCATTCATGAGAATTTAAGCTGTGAAAGGTACAATAGCTGATCCTGATTTTGCTATAACTGCCTAAGTCCAGAAAATACAGAATGTAGAAAAATAAGCAGAGAAATTGCTTGAGTAATTAGCCTTTCTATACTTTAAAAATCCCACAAACTTTCTCCCCTACTGGTAATTGTCATAAATGTGCGCATCTGTGATTTTATATTATTGAAATTTTAAATATTGCTTGCCTAAATGAAATATTGCTCTCTGAGCTGAAAACCAAACTTGCTCAATAATGATGCTATAATAAATCTCTGCTTATGCTGCAGTGAAGTATTGCCTCATTGTAAAGATTGCAAAATCTGGTTTAGAAAAGATTCCTTTTGCTAGTAAGAACTGAAATTCCTTGTTAAGCTGCTTTGGTAATACAACTCTTCCCCAGTGTAACACAAGATTTATTTTTGGCATTGGGACTGCCAAGACTGAACACCTGTTTGAATGTAACCCCAGAAGTTCTGGGACAAATGAGGACTTTGTTTAGATAATGAACATTCTTGCTACTTCTCTTGAGTTTCCCAGAGTGATGCTTCCTTGATCAAGCTTGCATTCCCCTAGATTCACTCATCTGTTTTTATTACAGGAGAAAATACCTTAATTTTGAGAGACTTGAGACCCAGCTTAAGGCCTGTCACTGCAGAATCATGTTTTCTAAAGCCAAGGTAAACATCTTAAAAATTCCAAGAAAATTAAACAGCTGAAACTTAGCAAAGCAGTGTTTAAAAACATCTTCTCTCTCCAGCCTTCTGTCTTGGCACTGTCTATTTTGGCACTAGAGATAGAAGAACAAAAACTGCTGGAGTTGACAGAGGCATTGGAATTTCTACAGTTACATTCCAAGGTATGTGCAGATAAAATTTCAGGGAAGGGTGGAAGAAAAATGCATGGAAAGGTCTACACAGGGGGAAGGAACAGGTGCATTGGAATATTGGTTTCTTTTGTGGCTTTGTTGTGATGTTTTGTTGGGTTTTTTCGTTTGGCCTGAGATATTTGGCTGCCTTGCCTGTTGAAGGAGCTGAAAGTACATGGAGAAAGTAAAGATTCAGCTAGTTGTTAACATAGGACATTATGTCTTGTTATGTAGATAAGCAACAGAGAATTGACCTTCTGGAAGGAGCTAGTGTTAAAGTGCCTTACAGAATATTCCTCAAGCAAGTGTTCCAAACCAAATGTGCAGAAATTAAAATGGATTGTGTCTGGACGTACAGCTCGGCAGCTTAAACATAGCTACTACAGAATAACACACCTTCCTACCATTCCAGAGGCCACCTCATAATAGGTAAGTCCTTGTAAAATCAGCTTCTGATAGTTTACAGCTAATTTTACTTCTACATTATCTCCAGGGTCCATAGAGGTTACCTCCTGCAATCATGTAACTGAAGTGTAGTTGGCCTGTTCTCATGTTCATGCTTAAACCAGTGCTGTACCTAAAGAAGTGACAATCTAATTCATGTATGAACACTGGAGAATTAACTGATGTATGTCACGATAGCAGAAAATCTACAGACACTGAGACCACATTCACACTAAAATGTGGAGTAAAGGTTGCATAAAGGGAAAAAACCTTTGCCTTGCTCCTATCCCAAACAGAAAACCAGCCTGCTAGAATGAGTTTCTTGTAATTGTTCACTTAAGCCACTTACAAGACAGATTTTTACAGTTTTACTTGCATAACTGCTTAGTGAAGGCTAAAATCTGTAATTCAGTTATTCCTGTTACTGTTGTTCTACTCTGTAAAAATGGTAAACTTCCTTACCTAGACTTTCCTACCAGAGGCTACACATTTTTCTAGAACATCCATCTGTTGTTGTCTTGCTGTATTAGGATCTCATGCTTTGTTTGGCTCTTGTATAAAGCACTTCCGTTGATTGGTTTGTTTGGGTTTTTTACAGGAGTACAATAAAATGGGAAGACCATCCTGTGACCTTGTCAACAGGCACACAAATATTTGAGAAACAGTCTGTACCCTGATCTTAATAATGAAGAACTCAACTCATGGAAAGAACATGTAACATTTCAGAGTAAAGATCCTTCCAGCAAATACCAGTTCTTTTCATGATGAATTCAACAGTATGTGGTGTCAGTTTTCAGTCTTACTTGGTAGACTGTTCACTAGTCAGTGAAATAACAGAATCCCAATACAAGGAATTTTAACACCTTAGAGTTTGTAGAGCAGCTTGTTTAATCTAACCTTGGTTTACAGTAACTGCAGGTGCTGAATTGGGTATTAATTTTTAAAACCTGGTTCACTTTCTGAGGATTATGCAATACTAGGAAAATCAGATGTGCAGTAGTGCAGTGCTGCAGTGTGTTAAGAAAAGAAAGACTAATCCAACTGGATAACAACAGCAAATGCCTGCCAGCTCACCTGGTGTGTTGTTTGGGCAGTACCTTGTGTCCACGTGTTCCTGCCAGGATGGGCGCTGGCCTCCTACCACAGACACATTAAACATTAGCCTGTGATACCCACTGGAAGTGTTGAGTAGGTAGAGCAGGAGAAAAGAGAAACTACTGTGTTCCTTTAGGAAAGACAGTCACTAGTCTCACTGCAGTATTTTGTAAGAGCTGTAGTTTACTGATGCCAATCTCATTGAGTGTAAAAACTTGGTGAAGTTTTTTTATCAATGAGTAAGGGAAAGAACTGGGTCACATGTAACCCTTTCATGCCCTAAATCTGGCATTAGTTTTCCTGTACTAGAGGTACATGCTGATTCTGAACAGGCACATTGTTACAGGTACAGTAGGAGCAGGGCTAGTTCCCTCCTGTGGCCTTTGTGTAGGAGTAATCCAGATGAGAAACACTGAAGATTGCTTCAACTCTAATCTCTTAAATGGTACGCTCCATAAAACACAACTGTTTGTTCTGAAGACCAGGTCAATATTTGAGGTATTTGTGCTTCTAGTGCTACCAAGGAAGTGAGTAAAAAGAATGTATTACTGTATGTTAGATAAAAAGAGGTTCTGGGAGAGTGTTGCTAATGTCCTCTTGAATTCTGCTGTGGGAACTTGAATTCCCACTGTGGGACAGAGGCTGTTGGCAATAGGCTGTTAAACTGGATTGTAATATGGACTGATGGAGTGGAGAAGGAGAGATCAGAGTGTGGGATGAGGTGTTGGCCAGCCAACCCTTGCCTGTAATGCTACCAGCTGAGGTGGAAACCATTCTTTCTAACTAGTTAAAGCTTTCACAGAAGATACCATACCAAAACTCTCTTGTGGACAAATCAAGTCTTCTCATGAGCTCGTGGGAATGACTGCACTGCAAAATGTGTAACTGGCTATCACACCTGTCAGTGCTGCCTGGGCATTGTGCTGACCTGTGCAGTTATCCAAAGGTGTGGTCAGGCTACTGGGAGAGGATGCAATGTGCAATTCTAATTGTCCTGTCTCAAGATATGTACCTTTAAATTAAACATTGAAATGAGCTTAACTAAGTAGCTTTTTTCCTGTATGTATGTTATGAAACATCTTAGTAGGAAGCCTATAAATGTGACTTACACCTGAACAGTACCTGGAGAAAACATTCCAGGCAGGAGGTAAGACATAATGCAGATTTTTTTTCCAATTTATTTTTATAAGAGGCTGAGGCTGCATGAGGGTGACTAGACAACCACATGAGAAAATGGTAAATATCTTACAATATCTGTTCTTCAGCAAGGAATCACAGAATGGGTCAGGTTGGAAGGCACCATGGGTGGGATCAGCTGTTCCCACCTCATTGCTCAAGCAGTCTCATCCCAGAGCACATGACTGATTCATCCAGACATTCTTGATGAACTCCAGTAAGGCAGACTCCAGACCGACTCAGGGAAACCTGTTGCTGTGCACAGTCTCTGCACAGGAAAGAACTTCTTCCTCATGTCGAGGCATCACAGAATCACTAGGTTGGAAGAGACCTTCAAGATAACATTGAGTCCAACCCATACCCTAACACCTCAACTAAACCATGGCACAGAGTAACACATCCAATCTTCTTTTAAACACATCCAGGGATGGTGACTCTACCACCTCCCTGGGCAGGCCATTCCAGAACTTCAGCACTCTTAAAGTGAAAAACTTTTTCCTAATATCCAAGTTGTATTTCCCTTGATGCAGCTTGAGACTGTGTCCTCTGCTTCTGTAGTGCTGCCTGGAGAAAGAGACCAACCCCACCTGAGCACAGCCACCTTTCAGGGAGTTGAAGAGTGATGAGGTCACCCCTGAGTCTCCTTTTCTCCAGGCTGAACACCCCCAGCTCCCTGAGTCTTTCCTCACAGTATTTGTGTTCCAAGCCCCTCACCAGCCTCATTGCCTTCTCTGGATGCACTTGAGTGTCTCAACATCCTTCCCAAACTGAGGGGCCAGAAGTGGACACAGCACTTGAGGTGTGCCCTCAGCAGTGCTGAGTACAGGGGGAGAATGACCTCCCTGCTCCTGCTGGCCACACCATTCCTGACAAAGCATCTTGGCCTTCTTGGCCACCAGGGCACACTGCTGGCTCATGTTCAGTTGGCTGCTGACCAGTACCTCCAGGTCCCTTTCTGCTGGGCACACCATTCCCAGCCTGTAATGTTACAGGGACTTACTGTGGCCAAAATGCAGAACTTGGCACTTGGATGTATTAAACTTCATCTTATTGGACTCTGCCCATCCATTCAACCATTCCAGGTCTCCCTGCAGAGCCCTCCTACCTTCCAACAGATGGACACATGCTCCCAGCTTAGTGTCATCTGTAGATTTACTAATGAAAGACTCAACACCCTTATCCATGTGGTCAATAAGAATACTGGACAGAGCTGCTCTCCAGCAGATCAGCCCCAGCCTGGTGCATGGGGATTCCTTCCCAAGTGTGGATAAGCAGGAATAAGATGTCCTTGCATTAAGACAAGTGGTAGATTTATAACTGATTTGTTTACTTTACTTTGTGGTGTTTCTAAACAGAAAAAACCACCCAAACCAAACATTCTGCTCAAAGACGTTACTTTTTTATGTACACCTTTCTTTATAGTTTTGCCTTAGTATCATAAAGTTATCACAGCTTATAAATCAGCTGGTAACACTTTGTCTTCGTTCTGCTGGAAAAGATCTTCTTTCTCTTCACTGAAGTAATTATTTTTGACAACAATCCATTGAAGAGATCACTGAAGTCTTCAACAGTTACATGATTCCAGTCCTCAACTGTAACATGTAATTTGTCTAAAGGGTCACATATAAAAAGTTCACTTTTCAAGACTAGAAAAGTCTGGTCCTCCTTTGCTGTAGTTCCCAGAAATTTCTGCCCCACTGAAGTCAAACCCAGGGTTCTGATGGAAGTAAAATTAAAAATAGTTTAGTAAGTAAATTATTTAGAATAAAAATGCTTTAAAAAAACCCAGACAACCCACAAAAAAAAACTCCTAAATTGCTTTTTGTTAATATTCTGTCATTGGAACAAGAACATATAACAATCAACTTGTCATACATTTATCACAGCACTGAAATTTTTGGAAAATGCATCAACAAACTCTGAGTTGTCATAGTTTGCTTGCCTACTGCTGAAGTGACTTTGTAATGATGTTCTTGACTTAGCAAGTAGTCAGATCTCCCAGAAAAGACATACTAAGGAAAATTCAAGAAAGAGATCTGGCTTTTGGTGTCCTTTGAAACTGCCTTTTGAAAATCTAAGTATGTGCTCTGATGGATCACAGGGTTCATAAAACTGCTCTTCTCTGCTGCAGTACATAGCCTGCTGATTCAGCTGGTATGTAAAATGTAATTCTACACCTCTGCAGACATGTGCAGGAATAGTTGTGTGCCAAAGGTATAGCAAAACAATTCCGGCAATTTTAGTGAAAACACAAGGAACATCTTTTCCAGCCAACTATTCCACTCCATCTTACATTATAAACAAGCATATCCAGTACAATTTGATGATCAAATTTTATTATAAATACAGCTATGTTATAATTCTAGATAATAACAGAAGTTGTGTGTAGCCTAACAAGTGAAAAGTTGTTAGGAAGATACAATTACTAAAACAGCAACAGCACTTCCAAACTCACCTGAACTTACCAGAAACCCTGCAGGCAAAGTGCAGACAGAATAATCTCTTCAAAGCACAGTGATAAAACCTTATAAGCATTTTAGGGATATTGAACTAAAGCATATATTCCATGGTATTTGTTCAGCTTTCCTGGCCATAACCTCTGTGTGCTAACAAAACATACAAGGAGTAATTACAGTGCTCTAACTTACTTCTCTTTGGAATCTCTCCAGTGTAAGTTTCCTTTGCATCTGGTCCTGTACCCAAGGATCAGCAGCATATTCATTTTCTAACAAAGATGTCCAACAATTTCCAGCATCTCTATTTGTCTTCATTAGAACAATTCTTATCAGCTGTCTGTCTTCTGTTGAATGAAAACACATAGAGCAACCTTTAAACTCAGTCCTACGTGCTGGTTCTTTTCTTGGTTTGGTGAATTCACCATTAATAAGCACAAGAAGTGAAGTTATTTAAATTCTTAATGCCAATGCCAACCTAGTTCTTGATAAATAAATCAACATTAACAAGAGAGAAAAGGCTGAAGCAAAGACAGCCTGTACTCTCATCTCTCCCCTTCTGGCCTGTAAGATGCTGAAGCTGTTTTAAGGGATTAAACACAGTTCATGAGTATTTCTATGCAAACATAAAGTAACCTCTTGGAGATGTTGACAACAAAGATTTAATCTATTAATACAGACGACTCTGCTAAGACAATAATGAAAAATTTAAGGTCAGGTTTTACAAAGAGTTATTACCAACAAAAGCCAGAACTAAGTTTTAGCAACATATGACCAGATGATTATTTAAACAGTGTGCATGGCATAGAGAATATATTGGAAGAATGTTTCAGAGTAATTGTGCAGAGTGTTTAGTTCTACTGAAGTGAATAAATACAGCATTAGAAGTGTATTTTGAAGACAATTTGTGTACTGAAAAAGACTGGGCTTCACTTCACAATGTATATTAACACTTTTAATTTTAGTGCCTTAAATTACTAAATTACCAATAAATATTTAATATAAATATTTACTGGAAAAGAAAATCCTTCATAGGAAAACACTGAGAGGCACAGTCCACAAATATGATTGCCAAACCCCAAAATATTCAGAATACTTTATAGTATTAATGATATAATGGCCCAATATTCTTTTTTTCCTCATTATATGTAGGAACCTTAGTGTGATTTAAATTTTTTTTTCTGATTCTTTTGGACTGCAGATATTGTCACTTTTGTCATTCAAGAAAATGTAATGCATAAAAGGTAGTAATTATGGAGAGTCATAGACCACATAGCTGTACCACATAAAACTTCTCACTATATGGAAATGTTTGCAACCCATCGATGAGGACCTTCCAGGATGTGGCACCTCATTAACCTTAGTCTCAAGTGCTTTTGTAATACCTCAATTCCTTAATCCAGCAATAATGACTGCCTTTTTACAAAGCTATGGGAAGAAAGTAATCTTTCCCATTAATAAAGAGGGGCTAAATTATTCTGCAGTGTCTACTGGAAAGTTTTACTGTCTTTATAATGTCACTTCACATGTTGGTTATTACCTAATGTCCACGTTCCTTCGTCAGTTACTGTAGAGTCAAAAAGTTTACCCTGCAAAAGACAGGGACAATATTACAAATCAGTAAACCCTCTTCAGCATCCAGTTCACATTGTTATAAAGTTTTATTCACAACTTAACCACCTTGTATTCTGCTGAAAATGGATAGAGTGATCTGGCCCTACAAGTATACACTTGCATGTAGCCTGTCAAAGAATTATTGTTTATTATGCAATTATCTTTTAACTGAAGCATTTAATACTTGGTTTCAGTATCTGAAGTCATTGAAATGGCTTGTATTTCTCAGCAGGTAATGTAATTTTTAATAATCTTGTCATGAAAATGCAAGTGTTTTTGCCAGGAGTGACATTTAGCACTGGTGCAGGGCACAGGTAGTATGAGCAGCTCATTATAAATGTGAAAGTAAATCTATCTTTAGGCTGTTTTTTTGGGGGGGGTTTTGTTTATTTGTTTTTGGGCTTTTTGTTGTTTGTTTTTTATGTTGTTGTTGGGGTTTTTTGTTCTGTTTTGTTTTTTGAGTTCTTTTTTTTTGCTTTCTGGAGCAATTGAAGTTGTGCACTGAAATGCTGTCCACATTCACATTAAAATCCATGTGAGTTTGTATTTTTATTTTTCATAGAATCACAGAATGGATTGGACTGAAAGGGATCTTAAGTTCATCTAATTCCTGCTGCTTGCCATGGGCAGGGACATCTTCCACTGCCCCAGGCTGCTCCAAGCCCCATCCAACCTGGCCTTGAACACTTCCAGGGATGGGGCATCCACAGCTTCTCTGGGCAGCCTGTGCCAGGGCCTCCCTACCCTCACAGCACAGAGTTTCTTCCCAATACCCACTATATAATTGTCTTCTGACAG